ATTGCGTTCCATCGGTAATTTTTACTAATGTTCTTCAGATAAATGTTGGCAACTGCGTCTCGCAAAGGTCCAACTTTAAATTTTATGCAATTCCTAGAAGTTGCCAACTGAATTTCTAAATGCGTATGACGGTAGTTTTAGGAAATAATTATGGGAGTGCGGAGTGGAATAAAATAAATGCACAACTTTACGGCTGCGACAGTCGCTGGCTTTCAGGCCGACCTATCTCGTGCAAGATCCGCACTGATCGATCTAGACTGATTTTGAACGGTCGGTTGGGGCATCAGCACCACATCATTAGCTAGCGCAGATCGTAGCAATGTGCGTGACCTGGATGGCTAATGCTATTCAGTTCGTGCTGGAGAGAGTGTTTTGGTGGCTTTCAGTGGAGGAAGAGGAGAAAAAGGATGAGATGGTGCAGGAGCATGGGGAGGAGAACGACGAGGAGGGAGGCGAATTGGAGTTGTTTTGTGAGTATTGTCTAATTAAATTATCAAATCATATATTGCATAAATATTTATAATGTCGGATGTATTTTACAGAGCCGAGATGATTAATGTGTGCGTGGTTTCACTGACTCTGTCCTTTATGTTCCTAACGAAGAATTATTTGATGTAAGCGGTTCAAAAGGCTAAACAGTTTCCCCGAGTTGTTATCACGTGGGACGTGTATGTGCATAATAGCTATTCAGAGCCAAAGTTAATTATATTCCGTGTAAAGTAATTTAATTTCCTGTCAGTTTTATTCGACGAAAATGATTTGAAGTGCAAAGAGAAGAAAAAGTACTTCAACGTTTACGAGAAACCTACCTAAAACGATATCAGGTGCATCGCAGTGTGGTGAAAATAATAGATAAACACCTTTGACGCTGCGATCTTCAGGTCCGCTGCCTTGTGGGAAGAGAAGAAGGGGGACGCCAGGTGGAAGGAGTATTTCATTCTGTATATAATTAATGGAGAATAGATAGGAGGAATTGGACTGTCGGACAAATATACAGGTCCGGCCGTGAGGGGGCGGTGTCCAAAGCGTCTGAGGCTGGCAGTCGTCGCAGCAAGGTCCTTTGTGGGTCAGCCTCAGGGAGGTGATTAGCCAGACCGGATTGGTGGGGGGGGG